CGGCGATGACGACGGCGGTGATGACGAGGATTACGACGACGGTGATGATAATGCGGATGATGGTGATGATGACAACATCGGCGGTTGTGATTGTCAGTAGCTTCTTCAGCCTTTTGCATTTTCTGTAAGGTGGTACAGTATGACAGTAGTCTATTTGGTTTCATCATGTTATTGTCACATCCCTAAACCCTAGACCCTAAACCCACCGTTTAAGGGTTTAGGGTTTAGAGTTTAGGGCATCGTATTAGACATGTCGCAGCCAGGCCCTGGTTGGCCGAGCTCAACCATGACGTGGAAGAGCGCGCCGGGACCCCCATGGCACCCCTTTAAAGGGGTCTATAGGGATTCTGTAAGCGTATAGAGTTTAGGGATTTCTTGGAGGTTCAGGGGTAGTTATAAGCAGGGTTATAAGCCCCGTAGTATGGGTTATAAGTATAGTTACCCTATACTCATTTGGGTTTATGTTTTAGGGGCGAGCTAGGGCAGCTAAGGTCATATAGCCTGGGCTATCGGGAGATGAGGTTCACTGCATAATGAAAACCTATGCCTGCATGCGATAGTCTACTTATACGAGCTACAGCTACTTGTTAAGTCCCCAAAGCCATCAACAAATGATGCTTGTGAGAGGACTTCCTGGCGCGCAGGCGTAGTTTTCAAAGTGTCGGTGTAGTTGTAGACAAAACGGGAGGTTCGTGGTTTTGGGTTCAGGTTCAGGGTTTCGTATCGACACACCAAAGCCTACCCATGCGACATGAGCTTCGAATGCATCACGCAGTCATGGCAAGACAAATCCTAAACCCTAAACCCAAAGCAGCAAAACCCTTTTCCAATTACGAAGACCCCGTAGATCCTTGCTTCGAGCATGGATTTCAAAGCTTCTGTTGCTTCCAAGCTCGAACTAAGCCCTGTGATCCTCACCCCTGAAGTCTGAACCTACAAGGATTACATCTTGCATGCTAAGCCCTACAAGGATAGACCCTGTCCTACACCCCTGAGCACCCCCAGCCCTGCACCGTGGACCCTTCCTGGTTTAAGGTTTAGGGGTTTACAGTTTCCAAGCCCTAAACCCTGAACCCTAAACTCTACACCCCAAATCCTAGACCCTAAACGCTAAACACTTATAGATCCACTTATAGAACCCTTAAATAGGTGGCAATTTGGGAAACTTTTTAATTTCACTTATGGTTCCTACAGAGGTACCTATTCATAAATACTTTTCAGAGCCCCAAAACCACAACCCAGTTAAAGAACCGCGAGCTTTTGCCGAGGTTTGCAGCCAATGCGGCCAGGATGGAGCGCTGATCTCAGAGTGGCTTCGCTTTATGGGAGTTTCCGAAGATTCGGGGTACCCTTAGGATTTAAAGGGTTACAAAAAGGGTACCAAAAGAGGTTTTGAGTTTCCGACAATTCGGGCATTGGGGGCCTTATAGGGTACTATATGAGGGTCGCCTGTTTTTTGGAAACTCTCGTATGGTTCTAGTTTCCGGGATGGTTTCGGGCCTTGCACCCTAGATCCACGAATCGTAAACCCCAAATCCTTTCGAACCCTCGAATCCGCACAGTGCCCGTATTACAGTACCCTGGCGCTAGCACCCTTCGAGGCCCCTTACCTAGAGGAGGGGACCTAGGAGTTGTACTCCAAGTAACCCCTACTTGGAGGGTCGGGGGACTTAGTAAGTAGGTAGTATGTAGACTTCTAAGTACCCGAAAAAGGGACCCTAATTGGGGCTATGGTACATCGGAAGGTCCTGCGAGCCCTGTTCGCCCATGTGGGCTTTCGTGAAGGAACCGGTCCAGCCCCTTGGCCGACTTCGGTGTCGTCTTTGCGGTTCTCCTCAGGATCCCATAAGTGTTTAGGGTTTAAGTGTGGTCTTTGGGGTTCTCCAGAAAAGAGAAAAGCAATATGATAAGGGTGCTTTAATGGTTTTTGCGGTCGGAAAATGGCCCCTGCGTTTAATGTTCGGCTAGTTTTACGAATAGGTCATTGCCGTCCCCTAAACAACGAAGATACCCATGCTCAACGAGGCCAAAACCAAATCAACCAGAGCAGCCCGAGCCCCAAAATCCAAAAAACCGAGGACGAGATGCAAGCCATAGACAACAAAAAAGGTAACACGCAACAACAACAGAATCAACAAACCAACCAAAACAACACCAAAAAACACAAACATCCAAGAGGAGATCAAACACAAGAAGTCAAAACCAAACAAAGAGAACACCCCAAATAACAAGTTCCCAGAGGGGATCTAGCACCAAGAGCTCCACGTACACATGTTGCCTTCGTTTCTTTTTTGTTCTTTTGTTTTGGGGCTCCCCTCTGGGATTTTCGTGTTGGTTCTTTTGGTTTCTCGTGTGGTTTCTTTGGCTTCTTTGGTTTGGATTTCCTCCTGAATTCTGGGGCCGTCGGCGACCACTACTACCAGTACTAGCAACCCTTTTTCGTTTCATGAATTTTCAACGCAGAGAAACGAATGTGTGACCGTCTTCCTTGAAGCAGAAGCAAACGAGTGAGCGAAAGCCGGAACAAGAAATGAGGTGCTATGTTTAAAGCGAGCCTTTTGGCTTCATTCGGGGCAATTCAACACAATGAAACGAAGCGCAAGCGTGATCCCAGTCAGCGAAAGAAACAGGGAGCCACACCGTACTATGTATTTCCCCTATTATGACGTGACGAGACGACTGGCATTAAGACAGAAGCAAAACAGGTTTAAATTCGTTCTGATAAAGGAGCAAGTGCTGAAAGCATGGTTTTGGTGTGTTGCTTCGCTCTCATCATTTGAGCCTTTTGGCAAAAGGTTACAATGTCCGGAATTTATGGGGTAAATACAGTGATGTGAGCCAAGGAAGAGAGCGAAGCACAAAGGTGGCTTTGTTCTGTGAGTTTATCGCCTTTCCACACGCATTTCAATCGCCAGTTAAAGCGTCGTAGTCACAAAGGCATATGAACTTAATACTTTCTGGACTAATCTTCGGAATGTCTGGAACATCAATACCAGTCCTGACAGGAATAAAAAGGAAATGTTTCCGGAAAGCAATACTTTTGTAACACAAGATATTACACTGCATCGCTTTCATACGATGCCTGGCTTGGTTTGCGGATATCTTGTTTCCATCTTGCGAGGGTCGAAGGAGGGGTATATCCTAGAGTCTGTTTCTGTTTTGGGATTTGTTCGCCTAGTCTCACAAGCTTCCTACGCGTTTTAAGCTTCCTACGCCTTTCCCTTATCTCAGATGTGGAGGGTGCGCAAGATGAACATGTTCTCCACCATTGTCCACCCCCTCTGTGAGTATATCATGTTCAACGACAGGAAACCTTGTGTTTGGATTGGTAGTCTGCAGTGTGCAGTTTTCTACGGAAAGACAAGAGCACACAAATGCATTGAATTTAGTGAAAATGAAAGGGCAATTTAATCAAACAAAAAACTTGCGATGTGTTTACCTTCTCCTAATTAATGTAAGCTTTTTTGCACCACTAGACAACCGATGTTTTTTCGTGGAACTAGTCGTTTCCGAGCTCTAACCGGTTTAGGCTTTTAAGTTTTAGGTTTGGGATAGCTTGGGATAGTAGGGTTTACGGACTTGGACTGTAATCTGGATACGCCGAGCCGTCGCAGGCTGAGGAGGGAGGAGCCCCTCCTTTCTATGTGCTCCTGGCATGTTTTCAACACGCCGTTTGTGGGTGCACGGCAGACGACACGGTTCACAGGTTCGGGGGTTAAGATTAGGATTTTCATTTGGAGCGGAAGGGGTGTCAATAGTTTTTGTGGAACGGAAGTTATGTTGCGGATTGCCAGGGATGGTTCCTCTGAGAGCTACATATCCTTTGCTGGTGGAAGGTCTTGTTCATGTTTACTGTTTACTACTTACGGTGGTACTGCCGTATTGCTCATTGTCCTTGTCATGCTTGCCATCATCGTTGTCATCCTCGTCATCATCACCATCTTCACCATCATCACCATCATCACTATCATAACAATCACCACCACCACCACCACCACCACCACCATCACCACCACCACCACCACCACCACCACCACCATCACCACCACCATCAACACCACCATGTATGCAGCCTCAGCATCAGCATCGACCATGGCCCCCTGAGAAGCCCTACGCCGACGCTCCAAACCCCAGCCCTAACCCCTAAACAACCAAAGAAACACAAACCAAAACTTTGTCATAGCTGGGTAGCATTTTATAATTTGTATGGGTACTTATGAAACCTATAGGGAACAAATTTGTACATGTTTAGTCCTATCCCAACCATGAACTAGAAAATGGCGCCCAGAGCCCAGAGAGCCTTGAAACATAAACCAAAAATGATTTAAATCCGAAACCCTAAGCCCTAAGCCTCTTAAGCCCGAAACTCCAAACCCCAAGCCCTAAAGCCCAAAGCCCGAGACTTTAAACTCTACATCCTGAACTCGAAGCCCAAACCCCAGGAGATTGCAAAGCGGAAAAGAGACCCTTTCAAAAAGAACTCCAAAACCCGAAGACTTAAACCCCACACCCCCAAACACTAAACCCTAAACCCCGAAACCCTAAACCCGAAACCCAAGCCAGCTGGTGCTCCAACAAGCCTGTCTCCCTGGGAGACTTCCGTAGCAGACTCTGCGGTTGGAAAAGGGCCCTTAACAAAAAAACCCTAACCCGAAAACTGAAATCCGAAACCAGAAACCCTAAACCCCAAACCCCTAATCCCAAACCCTAAACCTTAATCCCAAACCCCAAACCCCTAATCCCAAACCCTACACCCTAAACCCTAATCCCAAAGCCTCAACCCCAATGGCTACGGCTCAAGATGTCGGCTCTGGGGCGATTTGCCTGTTGCGAGTTCCACACTTACTGGGCCACTTCTGCCCCTCTTCATTTCGGCCTGCTCTCCGTCGTGCGCTGGCTGGCTGGCGGTGTCTCCTCCTTCTTCTTCCTGTTTCGATTGTCTTTCGAGCCTCTGGCTGCTACTTCTTCCTCCTCTTCTTCCTCTTCTACATAAGTGTGGTATGGCGGAGATCCTTGAAGTTGGCAGCCCGACCGACGTCGTGAGTGACATGGATGCTGACCAAGGTGATGTGGCTAGTGAAGCTGGAGGAGTTGGGGAAGTGTGCATGGATGATGCACAAAGGCCACCGAATGGGGATGATCTTCCTGCTCCACCTCCGGCAACACTTGTTGAAGCTGCAAGAAGTAAGAAGCGTGAACGTGATCGGGGTGCTCGGGATAGAATTGACACCAAACAAGAAGAAGAGGATGAGCAAAGTCCCACAAAACGGCCACATGAACGGGGCGATGGTGATCTTCCTCTCACGGGTCGAGAACTTCGTGACCTTTTTGCCCAACACCTCTTCTCGGTCAAACAAGAAATGCAGTCAGCATGGGGCGATGTTTGTGGAAGAATGGAGACCATCGAAAAGCATCAGACCTCCACCAAGGAAAGCCTGGCAGTGATGGGTGGACGTTTGACAATCACGGAGAAGGACAACGTTCTTCAACAGACTGAGCTCGCGAAACATAAAGACCAAATACAGGGGCTGGAATCGGCAGTGGAAGACCTTAAGAACCAGCTCGAGGAGATTAAGGTTCGTGGAGATGGTCCTGGTGAAGGAATGGCACCCCGTCCTCCTCTACCTGGCCCTGCCGATGCTCGACATCATGATCCTTGGGCTCAGTACTTGCACCGTCGACAACAGCAACAACACCTTCCTGGGCGACATGAGTGGGCGAACTCTTCTGACCACGCAAAGGACAATCAAGGGAGACGTTTCTTCATGAAGGGAGGTGAACCTAATCAGGATGGCCTGTCCGATGAAGACAAGAGGGCATTGATCATTGGTGGCTGGGCACAGGACACCAAGAAGGAGATTATCGAGAATGAAGCTGCTGAACTCCTTCAGATGGACTCCATCAAACCCCTCCTTGACGTGGATCGAGTGACAGTGTTTGGTCCGAGAAAGAGCTTTGCCATCATTCGCTTCAAAGAACGTGAGGGCGAGAACTACTACCTGGTCAAAGAGAGGATGTGGGGAGTGATCAAAGCTGTCAGTGCACTCAAACACGTTTGGCCTAGCACGAGACAGGGTTCGCAAAAGCCAGCTTGGACTTCTTTCTTGAAATCTCGCACGGCAAGACAAAGGTCGGCGCATGTTTCCATGCTTCGTCGAGTTGCCTTTGATCTTGCAGGTGATGCCAAGTCTTCAGAAGGTGCACCCCTCGTCCCAGATGCCCTCGTGAGCGATAACTACGACGTTGATTGGTCAGCTGGGACGATATGGAGGCAAGATTGGAAGTTGGGCAGCGCTACACATCGTCAACCCAAGGGAGATGTCAAGATCATGACAGGAGGCTGGGTTGATGTTGGAGCGATGGCGAGCGCAACAGGGTCGACGCCCACCAAGGTCATCTCGGCCTTGGAAAGGGAACTCAACATGTGAGAAAAGCTGACGGGTTTCACTCATCCTGCTCCTCAAAGGATACGGGATGAAAATGGCAAAGATGCTGACAATGGCGTGTGTGAAAAACACATCCGACTTAAGGTGGCTTCTTGGAATTTGGGAGGCCAACCACTGGACAAAGTGAACAAGGCGTGTCCGGAGGGTGACTTCTTCTTTGTGCAGGAGATTGCAAGACGAGAGCCTGGATGGAAAACCGATGATAATGACAAATGTGTGTGGGTGTCTTTTCAACATCGTGAACAGTGGAGAGGCACTGCCATTGGAGTTGCCAATGATCTATTTGACTGTGTGGTTGATCGCCGTACCTGTAGAAGGGGATATGCTGTTGTGGTCAAGCTCAAGAACATCGGACGAGTTATCCTTGCTAGCATCCACTCCCCTACTGGGGTGACTTCCGATGTCTATGGTACCGCTCTTCATGAAGTTGGGAAGATGTTTGACAATAAGTGGAAACATCTCCCGTGTATTGTGGGCATCGACGTCAATGAGCAAGTGAAATGGATACATGACTCTGACATGGCACATGGAACCAGACCTGCCCTGGGGAACACAAACTTCCAACACATGGCTGATACGTTTGCTCAACACGGTCTTCGCGCAGTACCTCCTTGCTTGCAGCACCGTGATAATCCGACACATTTTCCTCGCGACGTAGAAAGACAGGGCAGACAAATCGATATGATCTTTGGCAGACAAGTTGATCTTCAGCCATTCGAGATTGATGCAGAAAGACGCATTGCTATTGGGTCGGATCATGCTCTCCTTCTTGGTGATGTTCATTTCAAAACAAAGCGCAACATCAGTGGAATGCAGATTCGCGACCAAGATGGGTGAATTGCGAGCTTCCTAATTACCGACCCCATCATTGACTGGGATGACATTGAGAAACTTGCATCTACCTGTACCAAGCCCAGAGCCTCTTGCAAGTACGTTGATGACGGTGATGTTCGTGCCACTTTTCGCCTCGCCAAAGCAACCAACAACCCACAGGACTGGAAAGCTGCACATAAAATGCGCCGCAAAGCCCGACTGACTTGGTGTCAACTTCGTCGTGAACGTGTTCTTCGCGGAGACTGGCTTGCATATCGTGATCACAAAAGGGACAAGCAGAGAAAACCAGGCTGGTGGGGCAAACTCCTTGAGGAAAAGTCCTCTGCTGAGATCACTGGTGATGTACAGCGCCACCCTGAGCACAAACTTCAAGGTCCGCCAAAAGATGTTTGGGATGACTTCATCAATGCCACCATTGCAGACCTCCCTGACGATGCGGGCTGGAAACCCTTCACGTGGGATGAAGTTGGTGCCGCGTTGTCTGAAATGCGGGCTAATACCTCTGTTGGCCCTGATGGAGTTGGGGTTGATCTTCTCAGACACATCCATCAACATGCTGACCTTGGGGGCGATCTTGTATCTTTGTTGAACTCCACGGTCAAGAACACGTGGGCGAAGGACAACTGGGATACAAGCTTGCTTGCGTTGCTTGCAAAGGTTGATTCGCCAAGCCGGGCTAAAGACTTGCGACCTATTGCGATGAGCTCGGCGGTGCAGAAATGCATTAACAAATTGACCATGGGGAGAGTTTTTCCAGTTGTCAGGAGACCCAGTGGGGCGTCGTGTTGTGGAGTGGGGCGGCAGGCTGCTGATGTGATCGGATGCTTTACCAGATTGAGAGACAATACACGGGAATGGAAATTGCCCATCGTGTGTGCCAAACTGGACGTTCGGGGCGCTTTTGATAAAATCCATCGTAAAGCAGCTGTTCACCTCTTGCTGGAGAGGACAAGAAACCACGCCCTCAATGCTGAAGTGAAATGGCTAATTCGACAACTTGGCACCAATGTCCTGACTGGTCAAGTTCCTGGAGGTGATCGTATCACAGTTGAATGTACCCAAGGGATTAAACAAGGGGCGCCTGAGTCAGCAGAGCTGTTTGGCTTACTGATGGGTTGTCAAATTGATGCCGTTCTGGAGTCACATGCTTGGGGAGAACTATCTTGTCCTTGGGGTGATGTGCCGCTTACCCTTCTCTTCTATCAAGATGATGTGTTCGTGTGGGATGAAACAATTGGTGGCCTTGAGAAACGGATCAACTCTGTTGCCAGAGCACTCAAGCTGATTGGTCTGGAACTGGCTGAGGAAAAAACGCAGGTCATAGCTTCGCCGTTCTACACTGGACCCAGGAGCTTGCACATTGGAGAACAATTGGTTCTTGTCCAACCGCCCGGTACACAAATACGAGTTGTTGGGGTGAACTTCTCCTTCCATGATGGCACAGGGCAGCAAGCCAAAGATCTTTTGGCTAAAGCCAAAGCTGCTCTCGCCTACCACCTTGATCTTTTGACCGAGTCTGGACCATGGGGGGATAAAGCTCGTCTTCTTCAAACACTTGTGTTTGGTACATTGTCGTGGTGTGCAGGGGCAGTGCACTGGAATGCTGAAGACTTGGCTGTTGCAAACAGTATTCAATGTACTGCGCTCCGACGTGCCTTTCAACTTCGGCGAAGACCGGCAGAGTCGTGGGTAACACGAACTTGTCGCCAAGTCAGAGCTTGGATTCATGGTCAGGGACTCAAACGTTGGTCCACGATCATCCTTGAACTGCAGTTCGGTCTGTACGGCCATTGGGGGCGACAATCTGAAGGAGTTGATGAACTTGGGGAGCCGTGCCCTGGCAATCCTTTGCGCATGTTGCGATGGCGTTCACAGAAGTGGTGGCGATTCCAAAAAAGTCTTTCTGATAAAGTCGGAGCTAGACATCCAGGTTGTTTCTATGCTGACAGTACAGAGCGTAAGTTTGCTGACAACATTGACCTGAACTGGGAAAAGTGTACGAAAGATCGAGTTGCATGGCGAGCACGATGTCAAGAATGGGTTGCTAAACTTGTTGTCAAATGGGCCCGAGGGAGGCAAACTGCCATTCGTTGGTAATTGTTGTGAACTTGTGCGTGTTGCGAAGCTCTACAGATTGAAGTGTGCTTTCTATGAAGCGTGTACGCTGAGCATGAGCATGCTTCCCCTGCTGGAGTGACTTGTTGCGCATCGATATGGAGATTGCATGAGAGCTTGACTGTGATGTTTGCCTTGCGATTGCGAATGTGATTTGCAGCTTCTGTGCTTTTGAAGGCCCTCGTCCCACCCTGCGCACATGGCGTTCCTCGTCTTGCTGTGGATTGGAGCGCTTGCTTGTGGGTTTGGCACTCCGTCTTCGTCAGAGAGGGAATGGCCAAGCGAAGATGAAGGCGAAAGTGGGGACGGTGACCAGCATCGTCTATCCGACAGAGCTGGGGAGACTCTACATGCTGAACGCCCTGTACTTCCCGGTGTGGCTCCTCTACCTGATTCTGCCCTTTATGACGGTGCGTCCTCCCTGTCGTCCTCCTTGTCGTCCTCTTCAACGGATTCGCCACATCATGGACGACTTCTTTGGTCTCTTGACTGGGAAAATGCTATGATGGAGCAAAGGGACGACGTCTACAACAACTTTGGTGAAAACCCACAGTGGGATGAACTACATGCCCTTCCTGAACCTCTTGTACCTGAACCAGGGGATGATCCAGTACGTCCGGGAGCTGCACATCAACGAGCCCAAGTACATGACCAGGGAGATTTTCAACCTGGAAGATTGGGTGCTGCCCTACACATGTTTGGTCGCCCAGCTCCTGATCTCTATCGTCTACTTCATGATGGCCGTGTACTCCGCAGAAGTGCTCTTTTACAGAGTGGGATGAACAATGCTCAAGATGTACAGCCCGTGTCCTACTACAAACATAGAGGAGCACGACTTGGTGAACTTCCTGGGGAACAACATCTTGCTCCTGTACCTGCTGATCATGGTGCTGGTGTTCTACCTGGACCTGGTGACGCTGTTCTACCTGGTGACAATGATGTCGTGGTGCCTACAGTCCTACAGATGCTTCTTTACCTGATGGCCATGATGCTGCCGAATATGGACCTATGGTGAATGCTGCTCTACACCTCAAGATGCTGCTCTACCTGGAGCTGCTGTTCTACCTGGACCTGGTGTCGCTGTTGCTGTTCTACCTGGTGACAATGATGTCGTGGTGCCTACAGATGCTACTTTACCTGATGGCCATGATGCTGCCGAATATGGACCTGTGGTGAATGCTGCTCTACCTGGACCTCAAGATGCTGCTCTACCTGGACACCAAGACGTAGACGTCGCTGTACCTACAGAATCTGCTCTACCTGAACAACTGGGAGATGCTGTACCTGGAGATGAAGACCCAACGATCGTTGAGCCCTATGCTAATACCTTGGTGATGGGAGATTTGGTTGGGACCTATGTTAATGGTGAGTGGATTTCAGCCAATGCGCTCTTGGACTGGTTTGCTGCTGGGGGGCCTTGGCTCCCTTTTGAGGAACTCTATGACAGGGCGGTACAATCATACAAACAGTTCCTGGATGGGCAGCGAGCACTACTTACCTCGTCTACCTCGTCATCCTTGCCAGAACAACGTGGTCACCAAGGACAAGTGCGACGTTGGGGTGAATGGAGAGATGGAAAAGACAGATGGCACAATGATGATGGGTCCAAGAAAAACAACAACAACAATGACGTGGCCGCGTCATCCAAGGACCCAGTGGTGACGCATCCTACATCGTCCTCCTCGCAGTCTGGGTTCTACAAGAAGGGTGTCTGGCAAGCTCGTGAACGTACAGAAGATGAAAGGAGGTGGGCAGCAGGTGGACAGGGCAAACAACGACAAGATAAAAGGGCGGCGAGGATGAAACAATGGGCTGATGGAGCTTGGATACCGAGCTGGCTCAAGAAGTTCAAGGAGGAGAAGGAAGAGCGTGACCGTCTTCGTCAGCAACAAGCAGATGGAACAAACAAAAAAGGTGATAATGGGTCGCCGGCAAAGGAAGATGATGAGACTGAACTCTGGCAGCGTCCCCTGGCATACGAGGGGAAGGAAGAGCGTGACCGTCTTCGTCAGCAACAAGCAGATGGAACAAACAAAAAAGGTGATAATGGGTCGCCGGCAGAGGAAGATGATGAGACTGAACTCTGGCAGCGTCCCCTGGCATACAGTTCCTCGGACGATGATGTGGCCTCGTTCATGGAGAGACCGGGGCTGACCTCCCAGGAGTACGTCGACCTGATTAATGGTGGTATCCCTGCTCACCTTGCTCGACGTCTCGAAGGACTACTACGACGATATGAGAGTTTTCAGGCTTGTGATCATGGACCGGAAGCTCGATGGGCACTGGGACGATGGCTGATAACAAGTCAAGTTGGAGCCGGAGCACAAGATCGCGCGGAAGAGCCCATACAGAGCAGATCCCGAGACGCCAGACACTACCCCCTACGACGTGAACCACAGTGCCAAGAACTTCGGGACGAACTTCTTCGTTGGACGGGGGAGATCACGCATGTAATGGCGGACATCTATGAGTATGCTGCCAACTCCGCTCACCCAGGGGAACTTAGTGAGCTCCCAGCACCTCTGACAGTCAATGATGTGGTTGCTCCGCCTGGGTCCCACGTTGGCGGCAACTCGAACCATGGGGGACATGTGGTGATGCTTGCTGACCTACAACCTGCCGCATCATCCAGGCCGAGATCTCGCAGTCGCTCGCGAATGCACAGCAGAGATGAGCGGGCTCAGCTAGAAGATGATGTCTCTGCTCTGATGGACATGGGAGATGCTGACAATGGGCCTGGGGAAAACGACGATACCCACCCTGCTACTGGCGATGAAGGGGGGAGATCATCCCATGGGTGAAAGCGATGCTGGTGGCGCAGCTGCTGTCCCCCCGGGCCAGCGGTGCTCATACTGCTCCTCCACCTTTTTTGGGCCCTATGTCACTCTCGGGTCTTCTTTCTGCAGAAGATCGCCACTACGACTTGATGGGTGAAGAACAAGAGTTTGCAGATCGTGCTTGGCTTGTCGAACAAGCAGTACGCTCTGCGATGTATGAGCTTGGCAGTGGTTCAGCCAGGGAGGTCGTGAGACGGCTGTTATTGCGACAGCAACACCTCGTGGAAATCCAGTTCTGGCTGGACAGAGCGCTACAACAGGCTTTGAAATGCTGTCCTGCGGCCGAGACACCGATTCAATGGGATGTCGTTCGTGGCAGGGAAGATGGTATTTGGGGGCGAGTTCTTGGCCTTGAAGGTGATGACCCGATGGTTCAACGCCTCCGTGCTGCATCCCAAGCCCGGCTCCGGAGACGTGAGAAAATTTCACGTGGAGTCGTCCTTGCAGCAGACCGCGGAGCTGGAGGTCACCCTTATAGACGTGAACCTGGTTTGTCGGCAGCCTCCTCATCTGACCCGAGACCACGACCTAGCCGTGCACCTCACTTGCCGTCGAGAGCTACGCCGGATGAACCCCCTGGAGGGCCCGCTCGACCTGGACGTGACCATCGTGTTCGTTCTGGACGTGACCTTCGTGATCATCCTCCTGGTGCTCTTCCTGAAAGTCGTCCTGTACATCGTGCTGGTGAGTTGGATGCGGAGACTGATGAATCTGAAAATGGAGGAGGCGACACGGCTGGTGGAGTGGGTGACTCTGACGATGGGGATGGCCTGGCTGGTGGAGTGGGAGAAATTGACCCCCCTGGAGATCTTCATCATGGACCTGGACCTGGTGAACTTGGAGATGTACTTGGTGCTCATCATGATTCTCGTGGACCTCTTCGTGACGATTCTGAAGGTGAACTACGCCGGGGAGAAGGTGATTGCAGTGATGAAGGAAGCATGGAATGTGATGCAGAGGGACCTGTGGTGGATGGTGGTGAGATTGAAGGTGGCATTGGAGATGTTGCACTTCCGGAGGACGAAAGCTCGAGTGAGGAGATCTTCTTGCTCGATGGTGTGGGGGACGAAACGTTGGACCGTGGAAATGCTGTACGGGACGATCGTGATGAAGCTGCAGAACCACGTGATGATCCAAGTACACCCTCTGGAATACCCTAGCTACTTGCAGTACGTCCGACTAGGTTCCTCCTTGTGTACTACATGATTCGCTTGTTGCAGAAGGTTGTTTCACTTTCCATGTATGTCGTTAACGACAGGCGTTGCTTCGCAGAAAGACACGTCAGTACATGTTAAAAAAAACCCCGAAACCCTTACTTAACCTTAATCCCAAAGCCTAAACCCCTAATCCCAAACCCTAAACATTAATCCCAAAGCCTAAACCCCTAATCCCAAACCCTAAACCCTAATCCCAAAGCCTAAACCCTAATCCCAAACCCCAAACCCTAAACCCCTAATCCCAAACCCCAAACCCCTAATCTCAAACCCTAAACCCCAAACCCCGAAACCCAAACCCCAAACCCTAATCCCAAACCCCAAACCCTAATCCCAAACCCTAATCCAAAACCTCCCAAACCCTAATCCCAAACCCTAAACCAAAAAAAAACCCGAAACCCGCGGGCCAGGTGGAGTTCGGCGCGCGGAAGCCTGGGATGCTCAACTCGGCGGCGTTGCGAGCCCGGGGCCTCGATATTTGGGTGGTTGTCAATACTGTCCTTAAGGGTTCCTTTAGGGTTTTGGGGTTTAGGGTTTAGGCCGGTAGTAATAGTAGTTATAATTGTACCCCATTCTTCCATTCCCTACTAGCCCAAGGTAGGTACTGTCCTTAAGGGTTCCTTTATGGGATCCATAAGGGTTCCTTCTTAAAGGGATCTATCAGGGGTTTCATATGGGTGGTTGTGAAAACTAGGGTCCCTTTTTTTGGGTTCTTGGGGATCTTAGGGATTACTATAAAGGGACCCTTATAAGGGACTACTATACTATCATTGGGGATTATATGGGTGGTTGTCAAAATTAGGGTCCCTTTTTGGGTCCTTAGGGATCTTAGGGATCACTATAAAGGGACCCTTATAAGGGACTACTATACTATCATTGGGGATTATATGGGTGGTTGTGAAAATTAGGGTCCCTGTTTGGGTCCTTAGGGATCTTAGGGATTACTATAAAGGGACCCTTATAAGGGACTACTATACTATTATTGGGGATTATATGGGTGGTTGTGAAAATTAGGGTCCTTTTTTGGGTCCCTATTATAATACGGCACCTATTGTTTAGGGTACCCAAAAAGGAACTTTAATTTTGACAACTACTTATTTGACATCAGAAAGTCACCAAGAAGGTACTTGGAGGATCCTGGGACTTAGTAATTGGGGTCCTTCAGGGGTCCCTTTAAGGGAATCTACTGGGGTACTAAAAGGGTTTAGGGTTTAGGGTCTACTTAAAGTCGGGTCTACTTAAAGGATCATGGGACCTAGTAAGTTAGGGTATAGATCAGGTAGCGATACTTACAATTACTCATAGCCCCAATGAAGGTACTTATAACCAACCTTACTAAGTCCCAGGATCCTCCAAGTAGGTGTTACATGGGAGTTTCCGAGAATTCGGGGTATCCTAGGGTTCCTTTAAAGCGTTATTATAAGGGTACCAGTGGGTTCCTTTAAAAGGCTCTATGAGCGGTTTAGAGTTCCGAAAATTCGGGGTACCTTATCTTGGGATCCTTTTAACCAGGAACCTACTATTTAGGGTACTATACTAGGGTCCCCTATTTTCGGCAACTCCCACATAGTAACAATGGCAATATAGATAAGAATGACAATGGCTCCAGTAAGAATGGCAGTATGATAAAGATTACAATGATGATGAGTAAAAGTAAGACTATGAATAAGACTAAGCTTAACAGCAAGGTTATGAGAGAGAGATAGAAAGACAGAGAGAGACGGGGGGGAGAGAGAGGTTATGAGAGAGATAGAAAGACATAGAGAGAGAGGGGGAGAGAGAGAGGTTATGAGAGAGAGATAGAAAAACATAGAGAGAGAGGGGGAGAGAGAGAGAGAGAGAGAGAGTGTGTGTGAGAGAGTATGAGTAAAACCGAGCAAAATATCACATTACCAATAACAACCATGATTCTTATTATGGTCACAGTGACAGTTAATTTATGTCTTGTTTCTACTTTCTATTTTTATGTGTGTTTCACATTTGTCTTCGTTTCTTGTGCTTCGGGAAAGTTTTGGACTCTTGGGGCCTAGGGCCCTAAACCCTAAACTAGGGCTTTAGGGTTTCGGGCATCTGGGCTCTTGCGGGTTCTGAGAGGTGAGGAGGAGCGACAGGCCCGTGGCGCAAGCGTTTGAGAGTTTAGGGTTTAGGGGAACACTTCTCACAGGAAAGCCTGGCGGGCCAATCATGACGAGTTCGACTTGTCTCCACGAAACATTGGGCTTTGTCGGGGTTCAGCAGGGGTATGGTTTAGGGTAGAAGCTCGACCAAAATCTGCTGCAAGCATAAAGAAGCAAGTTGAGCCGAGGCCCAGTCGAGCTCTTTTTCAATAGTTCCCGGGAGCGTGGTCGAGGGTATTAGCACGGTAACCGCACTAAGTAGACGTTGGTGTAGTTCTTGGGGCGGAGCTAGACAGCGCTAGAAGTCAGAGGAAGGTGCCCTTCTCCATGTGGGGCTTACACATCTTACGGGGGGTGCCCTAAAGCCTAAACCCAGACCCTAAACTCCAAGTGCTAAACCCCCAAAAAACCCAGGCCCTAAACCACAAACCCCGAACTTCTTTCCCTTGTCATAGTTGGCTAACATTTTACATGTTTATGGGTACTTAAACCCAATAAGGAATAAAAATGTAAATTTTTAATCCTATCCCAACCATGAACTAATGTTTCAAGTCCCCAGGAGTTCTGCGCCTGGGATGGCATCCTCCTGGATTCACAGCCGGGGGAGACGCCCCACGGCGGGTGCAACAGCCCCGGACAAGGGTCGGGGCATAGGGGCCTTGGGGCTTGGGGGTTCATTACTTAGAGGCGTAGGGGACTTAGTAAGTAGGTTATAAGCAGGGTTATAAGTACCCTAAATGGAGTTCATCTTATTATATCCCTACTTATAACCGACTTACTAAGTCCTCTAAGTAGTGGTTGAAAAATTTAGGATTTTCTTTGGAGACTTGGAAGTTTAGCGGTTTCCGTTTTGGGGGGTTTGAGGGTTCACGCAGACTCTGGCGTTTGCTTGGGGCCGGTAATATAGGGGCCTCAATAATTACCTATACCATCTAGGGCGCTCCTTACTACATTTAAGTATACTATAATGGAGCCCAAAATTTATTAAGGCACCTACGTTAGCTTGAGGGGGTCTTCTTCCACATGTGGAGCGCTTCTTTTCTTCTTTGGGCTTCCAAAAAGCTGTTAAATCTTGTCTTGGAAAGGTAATTTCTTAGGGTACAATAAGAAGAGTATGCTGCTATATTCAGGGTGCTGAGGGGATATGTTGAAATCGGCTTGGCTGTCAAAAGTCGAACTCCTGGGGTTCTGGAGCTAGGGCATCTTAAGACGGAAGCCTCCCGCGTGAACCGCTGAAGCCCCTGAGCCCCTAAAGGTTGATAAAAAGTTACACCCCGAGTCCCTGCCTTTCGCACAACCCTACATGTAAGGGCCGACCCTCCCCTAATATCCCTTGCTTGTAGCTCAACCAAAGGCCTATATCCCGATTGTCCTTGAACCACCTTCGCCTTAAGCCCCCGAAGCCCTGAAGACTGTGTAGACCTAGGCCGAGATTGCCCTGGGGTGGCCGACATCGTGCGCACAGAGCCGGAGCCCTGAGACCAGAGATGCAATTTGGTTTTCGGGCTCTAGGCCTTAAAGGTTTTGAGCTGAGGCCCTGAGCCCTAAATCCTCAACCCCAAACCTGAAACCCCAGATCCCTGAAGCTTAAACCGTAAATCCTAAACCCTGAACAAGGGGCGTCCGTGTTCTCTCCGATGCCAGCATTTGAGCCTTCAAACCTTCCCTGATGCACCAGCCAAGGGGCTCAGAGAGATCATGCGTGAGCCATGCATCGGAATACCTGCAGTTCCCGAGCCGTGAATCCTGGACCCCATGAAGTGAACCCCGAACCCTCAACCCCACACTCTGAACCCTAAACCCTACACCCTTAAACCCTAGACCCAAAACCCTGGACCCTGAACCCTAAACCCTACACCCTGAACCCTGAGAAGCAGTGCCCAGAGAGCCCAAAACCCCTTAATTGAGGAATATGGCTTGAATTATATAGGACTTCATATTATGATTTAAGCTATATTTTTCAAGTAAGGGGTATTGGGCTCTCTGGGAAGTGCTTCCGTCTCCGAAGTCTATGATGTCCACACGGCCACTCTGCGAGGTTCGTGACGGCCGAGAATGTAGTCGCGCTGTTTCTGAAGCGCCCTGGCTTGCAGTACAGCGCAGGACCCCAAACCCTAAAGTTTAGGGCTGTTTAGGAATCAGTTCCCTAGCCCCAAATCCCAAAATCCCTAAACCCTTAACCCTTGAAAAAGAAACCCTTAGCCCTAAGCCCCGGGCCTTTCTGCCTAAAAATCCATAGCGCCGCAGCCCAAACAAAGTCGAGGCATGGTGTTCCGCGGGACTTCGACCTGCTTACGGTGGATACGGACTACAACGACTACTGGTGTTTGGGCATCGGGAAGTTGGAGAGCTGAAGCTTTGGGGCTGAGGGTAGTATACTGGTAGGAGAGCTGAAGCTTTAGGGGTTGCGGGTAGTATAATGGTAGTATTCCGAGATTCTAGAGGAGTTAGTACACTGCTAAAGGGTTCAGTGTGAGGCTTTCTATATGGGTCTTCGGGGTCTTCGGGGTCTTCGGGCTCAGGGTTCAACCGTCTCCCGTCCTGGTGTGTGTGGACTCACTGTTAGGAAAACCGATAAGTAAAAGTTAGGTTATGCTTGTTCGTACGGCTACGACAACGACGACGACTACTGTGCTGATGGCTATTGCTATGACTATGATTACTTTTGTTCGCATGAGTCTTAGCGGACTGAGGGCCGACATCGTGGTAGTCGGACATGTGTAGGAGCTGGTGAAAACTCGGGCATCGGTGCTACTTTTGTTGTTTGTTCGCGGGTTGAAAGATATTGGGAGTAGACCGCCGGGCACGATGAGGATCGGTTGGCTAATG